TGAAATTATAAGTGCAACGACATCGGTATCGTTTCTTCACAGTTGAAACGACATTAGTATCGTTATGCTTAAAAATGGCGTTTCGACCATCCACGGCCACCGACATACGTCCCACTGTACGTATGACGATGAAAATAGGTCATCGAGCCGGCTCAATCTCACTCGAACCACGCTATGGTAACGTTTGTTATTTCATAGTTGTCTTTCACACTCAGATTGTTTCCATAGAAATAGGGTATCTCCGTTAGCTCTTTCGGACCATTCGAGAGCTACCAGCCCACTTGATATGCTCTTTCGATCGTCATACACATTTCGGAGGTATGTGGAGTAGTCAAGGAGGATCGAAACGTCGTTTTTAGGTATAACGACATTAATGTCGTTTCAACTGTGAAGAAACGATACAGATGTCGTTGTACTTATTATTCCAGGTGAAACGACTTCGAACTCGTCAGATTTGTAAAGAAACGAGATGGACAACGTTACGTTATTTCACTACTTGGTACATAACGATATTTTTCTCGTTCCTTGTATAATTTTACGACTTCTAACGCGTTTCAGTTTATATAACATCTAAAATGACCTCAAAGTCGTTTCTTCAAGAACATAACGATATTTATATCGTTATACCTAGAAATGACGTTTTGACCGCCTTCGATTGCTGCACAAACCTCCGAAATGTGTATGATGATCGAAAGAGCGTAACAAGTGGGCTGGTAGCTCTCGAATGGTCCGAAAGAGCTAACGGAGATACCCTATTTCTATGGAAACAATCTGAGTGTGAAAGACAACTATGAAATAACAAACGTTACCATAGCGTCGTTCGAGTGAGATTGAGCCAGCTCGATGACCTGTTTTCATCATCATGCATACGGTGGGACGTATGTCGGTAGCCGTGGATGGTCGTAATGCCATTTTTAAGTATAACGATACTAATGTCGTTTCAACTGTGAAGAAACGATACCGATGTCGTTGCACTTATAATTTCAGCTGAAACGATTTCGAACTCGTCAGATTTGTAAAGAAACAAGATGGACAACGTTACGTTATTTCACTACTTGGTACATAACGATATTTATGTCATTCCATGTATAATGTTACGACTTCTAACGCGTTTCAGTTTATATAACATCTAAAACGACCTCAAAGTCGTTTCTTCAAGAACATAACGATATTTATATCGTTATACCTAGAAACGACGTTTCGACCGTCCTCGATTGCTGCACATACCTCCGAAATGTTTATGACGATCGAAAGAGCGTAACAAGTGTGCTGGTAGCTCTCGAATGGTCCGAAAGAGCCAACGAAGATACCCTGCTTCTATGGAAATAATCTGAGTGTGAAAGACAATTATGAAATAACAAACGTTACCATAGTGTCGTTCGAGTGAGATTGAGCCGGCTCGATGACCTGTTTTCATCGTCATACGTACGGTAGGACCTATGTCGATGGCCGTGGATGGTCGAAACACCATTTTTAAGTATAACGATACTAATGTCGTTTCAACTGTGAAGAAACGATACCGATGTCGTTGCACTTATAATTTCAACTGAAACGATTTCGAACTCGTCAGATTTGTAAAGAAATGAGATGGATCAACTTTCGGGAACAATTACGCTAGAACAATATCAATGTCATTCTGAACAAGAAGAAACGATAATCAGAAAAGTAGTGTATATTTAATATTGAAATGATATTCATGTCGTTCTGTGTCTCAAGAACGCGTTTGAAATCGTTTTAGTACTAATTTTACCTGAAACGACTTCTAAGTCGTTAGTTTTGTTCATAACGAGATCTAAGTCGTTTCTCAAAATCAGAACAGCAGTGTGTATTTAACATTGAAACGCTATGAATGTCGTTTTGTGTCCCAGAAACGAGTTAGAAATCGTTTTAGTATCAATTTTAGCTAACGCGACTTAGAAGTCGTTATGTGTGCTTATAACCATATCTAAGTCGTTACTCAAAATCGAAGAGGCAGTGTGTATTTAACATTGAAACGATATGAATGTCGTTTTGTCTACAGAAACGAGGTAGAAATCGTTTTAGTATCAATTGTAACTGAAACGACTTTTAAGTCGTTATTTATGTTCATAACGAGTTCTAAGTCGTTACGCAAAATCAAAGAAGCAGTGTATTTAACATTGAAACGATATGAATGTCGTTTTGTATCCCAAAAATGAGGTAGAAATCGTTTTAGTATCAATTTTAACTGAAACGACTTTTAAGTTGTTATTTATGTTCATAACGAGTTCTAAGTCGTTACGCAAAATCAGAGAAGCAGTGTGTATTTAACATTGAAACGATATGAATATCGTTTTGTTTCCCAGAAACGAGATAGAAATCGTTTTAGTATCAATTTTAAGGGAAACGACTTTTAAGTCGTTATTTATGCTCATAACGAGTTCTAAGTGATTACGAAAAATCAGAGAAGCAGTGTGTATTTAACATTTAAACGATATGAATGTTGTTTTGTGTCTAAAAAACGAGGTAGAAATCATTTTAGTATAAATTTTAATTGAAACGACTTTTAAGTCGTTATTTATATTAATAACGAGTTCTAAGTCGTTAAGAAAAATCAGAAAAGAAGTGTGTATTTAACATTGAAACGATATGAATGTCGTTTTGTGTCTCAGAAACAATTTATAACTCGTTATGTTAATCTGTACAATTTTTGAACTGGAACGACATTCATGTCTACTGTAACGACATGAACGTAGTTTGCATTCCCTGTGAGAAAATAGGAACTTGAATACCTAAAATACTAAAATTTGATTCCAACGGTACAAAAATATTTCAATAACACAATGAGTACAAAATCTAATAAGTGATTTCATTCAGTTGATATAATAAGTACGAAGTCGTACAGTTACAAAACAGGATAGTGTTACAACATTAATGTTCACTACTAGCTGCTTGGCCCGTGCAAGTGGATCGAACATGACCAGTTTTCTTGTACCTGCTGCACTTACGAGCCACACGCGTCTCTCCGTCCGACCTTTTCCTCTTTTTTGATGGTTGTCCGCCCTGTCTTCGTACCAATGGTGAAAATACTTCTCTGGCTATCACATTTTTAGGAATTTTCCATTCGACCTCGTTCGGCAAAGGATATACAAATTTAGAATAAGCTTGCTTCCAACAAATACTAGTGTAAAAGAGGGTACATAATTTATAGCCCTCGTCTCCTTTAAACCTTGCTGCAGCAATTGTATGCGCACATGAAAACTTGTCCAAATCAAATCTTCTACACGTACATGTCATTTCATAAAAATCCACAAAGTGGTGTTCTAAATTGTCACCAACTTGATAAATGTCCGGAGAAACCTGATTTACCTCCAACCTATTTGACTCATTATATGTCATGCACATCTTTTTCTCTAATGCTGGCGTGAGTTGGGTCACACATTTTTCTGCTTCAACATGTCTTTCATAAAACCACCTTTGTAGTATCCTACGAATATATTCTAGTAAACCAACTATGGGAAGTTCTCGAGCACTCTTCAACAAACCATTTATAGATTCCGCATTATTTGTAGTCATAATATTGTAACGTATCCCGGTAAAATGCGCTCTAGCCCAACATTGAAAATCTTCTTCTAATAGGTACTCTTTGATGCCCTCCTTTTTACTGCATAGAGCTGCCATGTAGGACTCAAAGTCAGTTACAGTATAAGCCTCTGACGCTGCCCTAAACAAAGTTGCAACATCACACCGTGGAAAATTTGTCTTCAAGTTCTTTTGCAAGTGATATATACAATTACCATGATGAGCAAATCGAAACACATTTCTAACTCCATTTTTGATGCACTTTGCATGATCATATATAATCACGAGGTCATCCGTATCACCTGTTATTAACCGCAACTTCTGAAAGAACCAAGTCCAGGATTCATCATTCTCTAAATCAACTACTCCCCATGCGAGTGGAAATATTTGAAAATTTGCATCCTGAGAAGTTGCTACGAGTAGAGTACCTTTCATTCTCGATGTCAAGAATGCACCATCTACAGAAATTACCTTTCGCATTGAGTTTACGAACCCATGTATACTTGGTCCCAATGCCATAAAAAGGTACTTGAAGCGCCGATCATCATTAGTATGAATGAATGTCAGTGTACCAGGATTTTGCATCTCCAAAACATGACAATACACTGGCAATTTCACATAACTCTCACGGGGTTTCCCACGAATCAGTCCACAAGCAAGATTTTTAGCCATGTACACTTTAGTATAGCTTATGGTTATGCCGAACTCTCGACGAATGTCATTAATAATGTCCCTTGGTCTGTAAACTCGGTTGACATCTTCATACTTAGGAGCGATGTGGTTTCCAATAATCATATATGAAGCATGCCTATGATCTCTGTGACGAACACTCATGGAGCAAGAATGATGACCATTATACTTTCGAACTTCGAAAATGGGACTTTCTACGATCTTGGTTGCCGTAAGCGCCACTTGCAATTTTCATCAATACAAACAATTGTATGAGTGATTTTATTTGACTTCTTAACTTTGTACTCAAACTGGCACTTCACAGCTAGCACCTGTAATTTTGATATTAGGTCATATTTCGATGGAAACAACTGGTTGACTCGCACATCTAATCGTTCCGAAATTTTTACTGATGTCTCGTAACAGAGCGAACTTACACTTTCAGATACAATCTGAGTACATTCAACATCATTACCATTCACTATATCCCTACTGCAAGGTTCGTGCGTGCGTAACTCAAAATTATTGTCATCTGCCACAGGAGAATTAACTTCGTCATCTACCCTTCGGGGACTATCTTCACTTACGTCAAAACCATTACAATCTACAAATATTCCATCACCATTGTCATCATTACCATCGTTGTCTGCTTGATCTTGTTCCTCCTCGTTGTTCATATTTCCAATTTGTTCTCCACCATCTAGTACTAATAAACATCCTTCATCACCAAAATCTTCCTGATTCTCAACAACTTCATTTAAAATACTTACACAAAGAAAAGTTTCTGTACAGGCAAATATAAACCACTTTACGTTGTTGTCACAATCAATTATGATTGGTGCAGCTAGAGCTTTAGACATTATCGGGACAAGAGCTGAAATCTCCATTTTGTATAGACTTGTATCGATATTCAATGTCTTCTTAACTTTATCATATAGTTCCATGTAAGAAATTGTTTTTGCAACAAGAATAGGTATTGTTTTCCCTTTGCCATTTCCAGAATACTTCTATTTCCATCCACCTTCAACTGTCTGCTCATATTCAATTGGATAACAAATCGATATCCATACCACGTCCATGGTGTCCATAACCTGTAACTCAACATGTAAATTTCATCAAATTTCAAACATCATACAGTATTGATAATGATATGTATGTTGTCATGGATTTCAGAAAACGATATCTATGTCGTTCACAATTTCATAAAACGATATGAATGTCGTTCTGTACTGAAAAAATCAAATACACGTTTCACGTGAAAACAATGTGAAAAAAGCCAATCATCCTTCACCACTTTACATTTCACTTCAATTAATACTAAGGAATACAAATGAGGGGTAATGAGAATAAGACTGGAAAGTAACCCATTTAAAGATCCAATCAAATCATAAAATAAATTCAAAATCATTATTGAAAAATGAACACCACAAACACATATACAACAACATGAACGGATGATTCAAAACAATGGAGAAAGAAAGTGGCTCAAATATCGAAAATTTACCATACCCTCTCTTCTTCTCCAAATGCCCAATAAAAATATAGCAAGACTTTATTATTCACTTCAACCAAATGAATGTTCAAGGGAATGAGAATCTAGATTTTGTAATTTCATTAAGTAGAGAAGAAGATGATGATAAGAAAATCAGCATGGAGGCATTTACAGTGGTTGAGTCGTTCTTAGAGGAGGGAGGGAAGGAGATTAGGGTTGAAAGGAAATTGAAATGAAAATAAGGGCAATATCATCATTTCACACACAAGGATATTTTAGTCTTTTACAAATTCTATTTTCCATATTTAATAACTTTAGGCCTTTCAACTAAAAGTCTTAGTTCTTGGTTTTTTTGAACAAATGTTTAGTTTGACCAAGCCTTTTAAATGAATCCCCCTTCTTATAAGAACCTTGATTTAAGTAAAATTTTTACATTTAAAAACATTGAAGGAGCGCCACGTGGGTGCCTTGTTTTCCCTCACATCGGAGGAGGCCCGCACACATTAAAAAAAAAATAAAACCGAGGTGGGGTCCCCTCATTGTGAGGGGGCTGTGAACCATGAAGTGCTGTACATCTGGTTTAATCCTGTTTTCCCTCTGTCCCCAACCCTAGCCAAGCAACAGGCTTGAAACAATTATACAAGTGAAATAGTGACGTATCATGCCTGTGACCTAAGCGAAAAAATAAAAATAAAAACCTTCATCTGGCTCCTGGTTTCAATTACAAATTATGGGAAATGACCAGTTAAAATAATAATAATAATAATAATAATAATAATAATAATAATAATAATAAATAAAAATTCACTGGGTTTTTACCTCTAAATTTGACCGTGGCAGACAATGAAATAAAATTTCAAACATCGTAAAATCTCTTAAAGTAAAATTGTTGGGAGGGGGGAAAAATTATAACGTTATAAGGATTATTAATTTATTGAAAAATAAATAATTTATTAATTTCTTGATAAATAATTTAAAATTATTTTTAGTGAACGCTACAAAAATTGATGAATGTCAAGCGCTTCTTCTATTATCCTAGTGAAAATGATACGGTGATAAAAAGGCCAATTAACGAAAAATTTACTCAAGTTACAAGCCTACAAAGGATGATCATGATTTAGATAATATATGTACTTTATGATTGTTTCTCCAAAAAGAATCGCATCGTGGCCTTTAGTAATTGTTTTTAAAATAATGTTAAAATGTACAAGATGTGATGCATTCCGTATTCATCACAAAAAAATTAGGTTCGATGTTGAGTTTGATTTGACTACCAAACCAAAAATATATGTTTATATATATAAATAATTATAATAACTTAACATGAATATTTTAAAAAAAAAAAAAAAAGTTGTCAAGCAAAAATTCTTAATATATATTATAAAATTTGATTATTTGAACAATCATTATTTATATTTTGGTTGATCCCCAAAAGATTTTAAAATAAAATTATTATCTTTTTGCATTTAGTAATATTCCCTTAGTGAAAATTACTCCCATCACCACAATTTAAATTAAAATTAAAATTTTACATTTCAACTTTTTTAATTTCAAAATTACTACAATACACAATAAAAATGATGACCAATAAATATATTCACTCCTTTCACTAATCAAAGAAAAACTACAATCACTTCATAAAACATGACATATCAAACACTACACATACCCCACCCCAATCCAAATCACTCCAAAAAATCCCCAAACTCCATCCTCTCTATTGCAATAGAGATCAAGACAAATCAAGAGTCGATTCCAAGAAATCTTCATTCATTGCAGATCGACCACATCATCTCATTCTGTTATTTTCTTCATGTCTTATGTCCAAAAATCCTCTCTCCAAATTGCAATTTCGAAATTGCAGACTCAAAGGACAGGGCAGACAAGCCCCCTGAAAGTCGATTATAGTGCCATAATGCAACACAATTTGTCCTAACACACTCCTCCAGGGAATATATGATGAGAGGGCCCAGTTTTTGCAGTTCCAACTTTTCTTGCTTGTTTCTTGGAGGAATCGAAGTAAAGTAGCCACCAATACATAAATCTTGATAACAAGTTGTTCGTCTAATGGTTTTGTTCTCATAGTGTAAATATTTTCAGAGAGTTCCTTACAAAAGAATGTACTGAACTTTAGTTCAGCAGCTTAGTTGGCATTCCTCCTGAAAGCTTTTTCAAATGTAAATATTTTAAGATAATTTTACTATACCATTTAGTTCCCACTATATCTAATACCGAAATACGAATTTACTTTCATAACAGAAGATTTAAAAATCCTCATTTATTTTTATTTCTTGACCACGTTTCAATGGTGAGAGTCAAGATGGTATGTCATCAATTATAATGTCTACCTATGTATGGAACCATCAATCTTGCTTGGATTGAAGCCGGCGACGAATTTTAAGGTGGCCAAATTTTCCGGCACCTGGGGACGACCCCTCAAAAAGTATCGGTAAGTAACCGGTGGCAGCTTTGTATCTCTGCTGAATCTGCACATTCAAATCAGAAACAGGGAAGAATTCAAAAAGAAAAAAAGGGAAAAAAAAAAGAAAAAAAAAATATAGGTTCGAGCATTGCCAGCATTAGTAATAAGAAGCGCAATTCCAAGAAAATGTGCGGTCGACACTGCATAAATAAGTGTTTTTCTGAACTACTAGAAATGCTTTTCTTTTGAAAATAAGTGTTCATGTGATTATATCTTTAGCACCAAGAAGCTAATCTTTCTATTCTGTGAGTTTTTCTATTCATTTTTATTTGGAATACAAGATAATTACCTCAAGAATTTGCTGGCTGCTTCTTAGACAGTTTTTACCAATGACACAAACTGTTCCACCCGATCCTCCACCAGTAATTTTTGCACCATATAAAGTTCCTTCAGCAGATCTTGAAATTTTACTGTGCTGCATTTCTTGCACTAGCTGAACAAGCCTGTCTGTCCCGTCCGAGCCAAGTCCACAGGCGCTGTAGCTGTAGTGGCACTGTAGAGAATAATACAAAGTTAGAAAAAATCGAGTTTTTTAACATTGCTACAGAATGTCGCAAGTGTAGAGATTTTGTGATGCATACAGGAAAGAGAAAACAGGAAAGCTCAATTATATGAACATTCGAATACCTGATACATCAATTCTCCTAAAGCAGAGAGCTGGTCATCCGAAGATGCGGATGTTAGTAATGCTTTGAAAGCCTGTATATCAAATAAAACTAGATTTTATTTTAAGTCAAAGTTAATAATTAATTTTAACCACATATTTCATCAACTATTATGAAAAATCTATTAAAGTTGTGATTTTAATCCCCCACCAAACAGAGGATAAAATTATAAGCATCATCACCAAAGCCATTTATTATGTATTCTGAAAGTACGATAGGTTCTAGTTTTAACAAGAACCATAATGTGGATATTGATCAATATAAACGTCTAGTACTATCTATGAATATGATTTTCTTCATTTTGCCACCTTTCTTTTGGTTTTGGTTAGTATCAAAATAAAGAATTGAATTCAGTTCCTCGACGACAAGTTTCCATCGTGTGCATATATAAGACAAAGGCAGATGCTCTACCTTCCATTGGATTATAGACAGAACACACAAACTAAGACTTGTGCATATACCAAAATGATTAGTTGCAAAGTCACCAATTTATGTTTTCAACCAACTTAAAAGACTTTACCTGGACGCGGAAATTCTCATATATAGGATGTCTGGCAGCTGCTTTCACTCCATAATTTCGCTTTTTATCTATTACAGTGACTGGATCATTGTGGTCAGCATATTTCTCCAAGAATGTCTCACCAAGCATTGCTTCAGGAAGCTGCTTTGTGTAAAGAGCTTCATATCTGAAATGAAAGACCGTAGACATTTAAAACAAGCCCAACTATAAAATTACTAACAGCTGTTTGATTCAGATTACGTTTGGACAAAACTCTCGAACTAAATGGAACCGAACCCAAACCAAACTGAACTGTTCTTTTTAAGTTAAATATCCGAACGGATATCTGAATCGAGAACCGATGGGTTAGGTTCAGTTCCAGATCAAAAATCGAGTAAGAACCGAATCTCTCTAATTTTTTTAATTAATTTATTTTAAATAACCCAAATTATTTTATTTTCTAAATAAATTTACTAACTAGTTGATTTAACTCAAACCCAAAAGTATGATTTTCCTATTTCTAATTTTTATTTCAAAGCCAACTTAATAAAATTAACTTAAGTTTTATCCAAATCTGTTACTCTACTGTAGTGCTATTTCTATCGTTCTGAAGACATCGAATTGAAATTCGACAACGCCTCTCTTAATTATTTTAAGCTCGTTATCTTCATCTTTCTGTGATTTTAACAATCAAATTTATGAAGAACTCAACAAAAAGAGACGCGAAAGACACGTAAGATTGGACTACGTTATTTTGTAAGAGCTAAAATTGAACATATCATTAGTTGAATTAATATAACTTTTTAAACATTAAATAAAAAAATTAATTATAATACGGAACCTGGGAGTCGAATGGAATCGAATCGAACCGAACCGAATGGAAATGAACCCGAACGGTTCCATAATTAAATTTGGACCTGACGATTTCACTTACTAAATACCCGAAAATTTCGATTCGGTTCCGGACAATGTCCAGCCCTAATTCAGATGCTAAAAAGAGGCTTCATGCATTTAACGATACTTGCAGCTTCTACATCCAAGATGAGGAATAGGAAACAAGACACTGACACCAATTCGCTCACGTACTTCTAGCTATTTCCAGAGAGAAGCAACATCCAACGTACGTTTGGCAGAGAGTAAAAGGTTTACTTATAAGCAAATGAATAGATCCTTTTTCAAACATGGAGGAGGGAACACTTATTTATCTCACCTGTGGGGTGACAAGTTGCACAAATAATCCAAGGAAGCTTCGGTTTCAAGTAGTTCAACAGCATCCTCTTCCAACTCATCAGCAATCATCCCATTAGTGGACAATGAGTAGGATAACTTTTCAGATGCCATGGACTTAACAATCTTCCGACCCATGAAGGCTCCAATCCTCACAGACCCATAATCTCCACCACCAACACTGCAAATTTGATCCATTATTCCAGAGAGAGAGAGAGAGAGAGAGAGAGAGAGAGTAAGAGAGAGATTATTGACCACACCAAAAATATGCTAAAAATTTCGTGGTAGAAAAAAAAATGGCATTGTAAACAATACAATTCTATTGAAGAAACATTAGCAGGCTGGCAGCCAATCAGTTTTGCGAAAACTAGAAACAATAACAAAAATAGCATGCTGATGTAACTGAATCTCACACCCATTAATCTAAGAAAATACATAACTATCGGATATATATTATCCAGATATTGAAAGGGAAGATAGAGAACACGTAATTCCTATTACCTGTGTCGGATCCCTGAATCGATTCCCCAAAATCTTATATGATTAGGAATGTCCACCAGACCCAATACTTCAGCAGGCTGCAGTGCAGTTATGGACATAAATATTACAAATTCTCAAATTCTAATTAGAAAAAGTATTTTTCCTGTGAACTGTATCAAATACCTGACAAACCATAGCAAGAAGTTTATTAGCTTCACCACATGCAGAAGTCATTTGGTCCATCACACCACATGGAGCTCCAACTATACGATTCTCCACCTTTCCATATGCAAATATTGTTAAGATAGTGATTAGATGTTATGCATAAATGTCACAAGCATAAAGACATGTCAGTGTATTCATGAATCAGAAAGTTAACCATTTGACATAGCAAAGCAAGCTCTCTTGGGCTGATATTTAGTCCTGAATGCACAGACAAAGGCATGAGTAAGATTATTTTGCCACTGAAGAAGTAAATAACCCAAATTATAGGCTGAACCATGATAAGATAATTATTTAAATACAAAAAAGGAAGTAGGGTCATTAATCCAAAGTGGTTGGTCCCAGTTTTTCCTTGGGCTGACTTGTCCAGAAACATGGAATTGAACATCTCCAACCAACCAAAATTAATTTCTCGACATAATCCAGTTTTTTCGACATGCTATTAGAAGTGGTCTAATTGTTGATAAGAGTTAATCCTTTCTTCTAGCTGGTCAACTAGAGTTCTTAAACCCATAAAAAGTACTTGAATTTGTTAGTTTGGTAAGTAAATCAAATTCCTACAATCTCGGTACTTAATAAACTGTGTAGAAATGACACCCTCGAGGTCATATGAAATGCGGTGAAGTGACTGCCAATGTGGCTTGTGAAATCATTATTTCATCATATTTCGGTCTGCTGGCCTAGAGTTTCTGTTTTGATAAATGTCAATGCAGGAGAAAAATCCCACAATAAACAAGTTCGTATTAGCATGTAGGTCTCAAACTTCGATCCAAAACATCAGTACTGACCATGGATAATAGGAATTTAATCCTGTATCAAGCCCATGATATCAGAATGAATATTATCTAAAGTTTCAAGAGGTAAGCACGGGAGAATATTCAATCACTATTAATCATCTCGTCGTCACGAGGCAAAAGCTCGTGTTCTTCAGGAATCAATAGCAAATGCTTAATAGGTATAACAAAACATATGCATATACATATCGCGCAAGTACCATGAGCAGCAGCTATCGCAGACATAGTGGCTACTTCCACAGCTGCTGAAGAAGAAACACCCTTTCCTTCCGGCACAGCAGAAGAAACCTACAAGTTCATGGGCATTATGTCATAAAATGTTCATTTATTCTAGTCATAAGGAGCAATTGCCATGCTGTAAGGAAGGGAAACAACCAAAATATTTTAAAAAAAAAAAAAAATAAATAAATAATAAAAAATAACAGGTACCAAATGACTAATCTTATTTGTTTTCTCATATCAACAATAACCCAATATATATGATACTAATTTGACCCAATATTGCCAGGGTGTACATATATTTAAAGAAATGTCTAAATTGTTTACATTCATGTTGGATAGGCCATAAGCAGCTTACTTGACATGTTCTGATTGTATTAACAAAACAACGTATGATCTAGAAGATCTCAAATACTATGCAGCTGGCGCCATCTTCTAAATTTGATTATTAATCGGTAATAAAAAAACGTGAGAAATTCAAGATTCTCGCCAAGATCATCAAAGACATGTCAGTTCGGTCAATTCTTTAGGGACTACATAATATCGGAAGTTAATACACCTCATGAATGAAAAAACTTATAATGGACCATTTTTGAGAAATCCGAATAACGTCAAAAGTTAACACTTCAAAAATTACAAAGTTCATCAATATAATTGATGCCAAGCAGTAAAAACCTAACATAATAATGAATTTTGGCCAATCTGAATGATGGAAATCATCAGACAAGCTGATTGCTGGCTATATGCAATACAATCAAATGTTAACCATCTGTTAATAAAGTGAAAATGATGATAAATGGTGTGTGCAGGGCAATATATCAAAATGGTTAATTTGTAAAGTGATGCATACCAGAACACTAATACTATCCTCAAAGCGGATGCCTAGTTCTTTCATCAGAACCAGAATTGTTCCTGCAACATAAGCAGCCCATCTAGAATGGGAATTTTATTAGTATAAAATGTAAAAGCACATTAATTAGAACGCAAAGTAAATATAAACCTTTGGGATGGATCTCGGTCAAAGTAATTTCTGGCCTTTTCATATGACAACGGTTGCTCACCATCCATGAAATCTGATAGATCCATATCAAAGGTTGGCCCACGATTACTCAATTCTGACCCATATGATACCTGACACATTAATATACATTAACAAAAGGCACTCAAACTTGTCTTCAAAGATATCGTTCAACTAGAAGCTGAAATCAGAAGAATATTAAATCAAAATAATATGCCCTCATCTCTCTCGAAGATGAGTGGTAAGAAAAATCCCACTTTATGAGCCAAGGTGTATTTGAGTTCACATTAAAAACGGCTAAAAGTTATATTATTACACACTGACTGACATAATTGATAGATCATTTAATATGATTGTAGGTTGCAAGTTAACTCATAATGGCAGGGTTATCAGTTAAAACAACTTAACCACTTCAATTGCAAATAATTTTACTTCAATGCCAAATACATACAATTTGAAGAACTGCTTTTTGCTCTGGTCCCTTAGAACTTTGTCGAGCCTGAGCATGCTTCCACAGTCTCTGTTTTGTTGGATCAATCTTTTGCAAAGCAACATGGCAAGCTTCTCTAATTGGCATCTGTAGTTATTTTAAATATTATTATTGAGAATATCATCAGAGCTACGAGATATAAGAACCTCTAAGGTGATGACACTAAATGTATACATAGCGTATTGATCACAAGGAAAAAAAATCTGATGCCAATAGATAGGTTTAAGAGATTACATGTTTTTGTCATAAAGCAGGTCCCATCTTAAAATCTACTTAATATCTAAATTCTACCTTAATTATACATCTATGGTCAAACAAATACAAATATATGAATCTCTCAGCACAGGTATCCTGCTGGAACTTTGTGCACCAAAAACAATAATCCGGAAGACCAAACCAATTCATCTTCTCCCATTGGTCAAAATTGTTATTTCCACAGTATAGGTCAAAGGGTTCGAGGATTGGTACCTCCAAACCACCGCCCTCCCCACCCCTCAACTCCAACCAAAAATAAGAAAAAATAAAAAACTAGAAGACCAAAAGGACTTTTCCTATTCTACTTGGAATATGATGTTTGGTAGGGTAATATACCTGCAATACAAGACTTCCAGAGTAATCGGCAATTCCACCCATAACATCCAACCTTCCAGGTGCTCTTGCCACAAAAATGTCTTCCTACATCAGTCAATGTTCATGGAGAAAATAAAAATTACTTACGTATCACTTATCAGTATCTAGCGAAGGAAAGATAATTCCTTAGTGTCCACAGGGGTAACAAACGACTTGGATAATTATACATACAAGTAGAAAACCAACATAATAGTCATCCAAATTTCATTACCATGATATCACTTCGAGTGCTTTGAGATTTTGAAGATTATCAATTATATCTTTCATAATTGTTCCAAAGACAGTAACTTTTGAGAAAAATTATCCTCCTAGAAAATAGTCAGACAAGGGTTGTCAATTTCCAAAAAGTTTCAGTATATGGACATATCATTAAAATCGCAACTTACTACTCATTTCAGAGCCCGTGATCGAATAAATGATAAAAAGATGACATCGCATTGAATTTGCGTATTGAAGTAAATGCTGGGCCAACTGAACTGAATAAAAAAATATACCTCCCAATTAAAGAGATTAGCAGCAGCTTTTCGCTCCCTCATCTGGCGCTTCTCTGGATTCTTTCCATAATCGAAAACAACCTCCAATTCTGACAAGCTCTTCAAGAAATTCGCAGTATCAGGTAGCCCCAAAAGTTCTCCATGAAGAATCTCAAAGTCTTCAGGATATCTAGCAAAAGAAGTGTGAAAATGTTGACATGAGAATTAATTCAGCAGTTTAATTTACAAAGACCAGTAAGAAGCATAGAGAAAAATGAGGAAACTCACGAAGGCATGGCAAAACTATCGTCGCTCATTTCAGCAGTAGGTGATCCTGTACGAAGACCAAGTTCATTTTCAGCATTTGTATACCATTCAGGAATGCAGAGATCTTTTCCAGGCACTCTTTGCAATTCATACCCAAGAATGATGGCATCACGCAATCTCCTTGCCCCACTAAGCTAAAACACAAAAAACAAGGAAAATCAATCTACTTGGTGGAAAATCAAAATAAATCAGTACTTGTTACTAGAATCATCTCAATTTTCACTTTGAACACCTCCGGTGATGTATCTCTGCTTTTAAGTTTCAAATTTCTATTTCAGCAAATACCAGAAGTTACATGTCTTAGTCTACCTTATCTGATGTATAGTTTTTTCCAGAGGCTGTATCCATCAATATATGAGCTGCAACCTGAAATTTTAGCAGTTATAAAAGTTCATAAATTTCCGATAAAACTCTCAAACGGTAAAGCAGCAATACCACACCTATTAAAAAACCTAAAAGCGAAGAGTGGCAAAAACTACCACTAAAATAAATATTGATTGTTCATCATAAAGATTGTCTAAAATATTACTGATGAACATGACATTTCTCCCACTAAGAGAATAAATGGCTTGCAATCTAAATTGAACAATATCTAGGGAAGCACTATGTGTTTCTTGTGTAGATTGTGAACTTTATGAAAGAAACATGATCAGAAAGTCTCTAGCGATGGATATAGTTATCTTTGTGCCTGGCAGAACAAAGTCACACACATTATCAAGAACTTAATACTCACTAGAAACTGTATTTTGTCTTCACCAAGCTACATTCCATGAAAACTTGCAATTTAAAAACATAATGCTAGGAATAGTATTGCCAAATTAAGAATGAAACAGAAATGTAAATAATTGTTAAAGTTATAGCCTCATCAGATTCTCTCCATTTCCTAGAATTATGCTGCGTATCTAAAAACATGTAACTTTTGACAAACATTTTGCATTCGATTTTGTCTGGAATTAAAGCATAACAGAATACTCAATTTGACCCTCTCTCATGCTCATTCTGTTAATTTGCATAATATTTTGCATTTTCCTTGTACTGGAGAGTAGGATACTTGCTAAGGAAAAAGATAACTACAATAGATTTCAACGTAATGAAATACCTTTAAATTCATGTCATCTATTCCAAAATTACAATAGGAAAACAAAAATGAAGAAAGATATTCCATCCATACAAAGAAAAGCAAAGATACCTCTCCACCATTAGTGCCCAACTCGTAGCATGGTTTCAGACTAACTGCACGTTCAAGATATGGACTCCAGTGTCCAGTGAGTAAATCCCGCCTAATCATCTCAACACCACCTTGATAGAACTAATAAGAAGAACCAAACATTCATTAATTCCCAGTGATAATATATTTTCTCAAAATAAGAGAAACAACAAAACAAGAAGAAAATAGTATATTTGACAAGATGTTGGATATATCAAAGAAAGGGAAAAGAACAATCATCAATGAGAAGCAAGAGCGGCAATGAGGTCTCACCTCAAGCATGTTTCTCAGAAATGGTTCTTCATTGAAGTAGTCCCTACGCACAAAGACAAATGGTACCTTGTATGCCAAGGCCTCACTAACCGTTCCATATCCAATTTTTCCTGAGATATTAAAAGGCTGCTATATAATTCATAAAAATATTTTTTTCTATCAAAAATGAAGAAATACTACATGGATGCCATGATAACTACTAGATGTCAAAAAATACATTTCAGCTATGCAGAAAGATTTGTTAACTAACCAAGCATGCAATCAGATGCAGCAATCAGATCAGGAGTATACACGTCTTTTGCTAGCTTTACAAAATTTGGAGGAAGGTTCTGACTATCAGAAGAACCACAAACCTAAATCCAGGGAAAAAACAACATTTAAGCCTTGAGGGTAGAATATCAGTACACTTCACAAAGCACCCAACGGTACCAAGACAGTAAAGCAAAAGATACCAGACAAAGCCAACCAGGAGGCAGGTACTCTTCCTTTAATGTCCAGCCGGACGGCTGCAAATAGTGACCGTCTTATGATGTATTCAAAATGAAAGCTAAAACTGAACTATCCAGTGAAACAAACTCTTAAGAATTATCCAATGAAATCTTCACAAAACGAATGTGCAGTTACCTGTCCGCCAAAGTTGAGAATAACAACTTTCACATCCTCTCCAATTCCAAGTTCTTTCCTCACCTGGACATGATAAAGAAAACAAACAATTTACATTTTACACAATAATTACATATACCAACAATGCCTTTAATAAAATTCTATGGAAAATTTTATATCATATACCTCCTCACGGGACTTGTGCAATCTCCTCACTACCAAAGGAACATCAATTGAATCCCGAAATGCTGGCACTGTAGGGTATACCAACCATCTTTAGATTTTATAAGGCAAAAATTAAAAGCAAAATAAGGAAAAGATCATTGGTAGTAAGACATGTTAGCATACTTGGGCAGTATCCAGGGAGGCGGATAAGAAATTCACAATGAGAGTAATCCTCTGCAATCTGCATCGACAATAAAATGACTTCACGATGAATAAAATGAGAACCTAAAGACAAAATATTTTATGAAAGAGCAAGGGTAGAAAAATTCACATGATTTCCAACAAAGTGAATCAATGCATAAAGGTGGTGTATTCCTCTTAGTACGGCTCTAGGGATAATTTTTTTCATTGGAAACAAGACCAGATATAATTTGATCATTACGAGGAAATCCAAAATCTTTGTAGTCGGAGCCAATCATTAGTTCCCAACCGTGGGGTGAATGGAATCCGATACATAAATCCGTTAATAAAAGAATTGAAAGGAAATGATGTATACATAGGGAAAGCCATGTGCAAAGCAGCAACCAATACACCGGCAACTCCCATCATATGAAATAGGTAAAGACAAAGTGGAAATAATCATTATCTAACCAAGAAAATATCAAAGTATTTAGGAACTTTACTATGATGAGAAGATGTAGTACTAAAAGAGAGGTTTATTTGACTACAGCAAACGGTTGTTCCATTTAAAAGATATTTTTCCCCTAAACAATGAATCCAATAAAGACAGAAAGTTGCTTTAATAACCACAGGACCTTCTTTTCCTTCCAAAGGAGCCAGATTACACTACAATATGTTTCTCTTTTCTTCATGTTACAGTTTCTATTTATGAAAGGGAAAGTTGATAGAATCTTGTTAGGTAATGGAAATGATGGTGGACAGTCATAAACACTTTTTGCAATTATTAGATCTCAATGGTGATCGGCCCAACCCTGGAACACCAGCACCAATTCAATAGTGGCATTTAATTTTCGATGAATACTAGAAACCATCTTTACTCACAGTTATTATTACTTTATCTTCTTCGGCGCGGAAGCAAAATTGGAATTCTTGAAAAAGGAATAAAGTTAAAAACTAGAAAATGTAGAGTATAATTTTATTGTATTAAAGAGATTGAATGTGTGCAAAGCCTTTGTTTACACAGGCAAAATAATTCCTAATCTTACTAATAGAAGGAAACTAAACTAAAATTTTAAAACAAAAGAAATGAAAAATAGAACTAAAATCCTAAAAGGAAACAAAATCCGAATATAATAGAAAAGAAGAAATCATATCTTAATAAGAAAAAAAATCATATTCTAAATAAGAAAAAGAAATCATATCCTAAATAAGAAAGAGAGAGATAACAAAAATCAATTTGGAATAGGGTTGTCCTATCACATTTTCCCCTACTTGGAAAAAAAACCATTTTCGAGTTTAATAGAAGAAAAGAAAATCAATCAATGAGGAAGAAAATATTCAAAAATTTATGTCAATATAATTGAAGAAGCGTTCATTTCTTGAGTGCTCGATAAATGTCATTATATTCTTCTGTTGTAATGTTTGAAGTCAACTTTGCCCCTACCTTACTCATTATATTTTCCTCAGGAATAATTACTATGCTGCGTTCCTTCATATATAAAGCATGGTTCGATTTCTCATCCTTGAGTCCGCTCTCGTTAGAGGCTATAGGTACTCTTAACAATTTTTTATGCTTCTCATCTTTTACTATAATGCCAAGTGCTGGTTTCATCAATACAAAAGAACTAGTACACCGACTCAAATCTACACCATCCATATTTCGCTAATGCTTGTACAATTCATTGACACTGAAAACGTAGAGGGTCAATGAAACTTTTATTCTCAATTCGACAAGCCTACCTTAAATTCCTTTGTGACTGAAAAGTTCAATTCCCTAACTTCAATTTATTAATTGTCAAAGTATAGCTCAATCTTGGGATATTCAATTGCAATTTCATCATAGTGTTTTTAATCCTACTTATACTGATTGCCAACTTTCATGATAAGGAATCATTAGGTATTGAGTTTTCAACTTGCACATGCTTTTCTACCAACATTGTAATATCATGGTCGGCAAAATCCTGATCGTTTTGAATAACATTTTTTAACCTCATAATCTATCTTATAAATCTTGTGATCTTTGTTTACATTGGTATTCATAGATTGCTAATCACGTGACACCAAAATAGTCCTCCTTGTACTATCAAAATACATAGCTATTATTTGGACCTATGTAAGTAGCAGCTATATCATAGTACTATGGTCCCCCAAGTACATGACAATCATTCATTTCTACCGCATTATACCCAATCTCATCTTTATAGTACTTTCCAATAGAAAGTAAAATTTTGCATACCTCTATATTTTGAATTTCTTGTCCCTTTTAACTAATGAAGCTTGATAGCAAGATGAGCATTTTTTGATCTTCAAATTTAAAGTTTTCACTCATCCTTTAAATACCATGTTGTCACTACTTCCATGGTCTATTAACATATTGCTGACTTTGTAATTGATAGTGCATCGTGTTCTAAAAATATTATCGCTTCAAATTTCCTTTAATATCTCCTCGATAAACCTTCACTAAATCCTTCTTGTGAGTATTCAAACCTAACTGGGACTCGAGAAAATTTTCTAGCCACCTATTGTGTCGTCTATGGGCTTATTGAAGCAACTAACATTCATAACAATCAAAGTATGCAATTTCTTATTATTCCAAATTTTGGAATAATATTGGTAATTTTACAATCCTCCTATTATCATCACGAGGATGTGTACCACAACCGCCATAAGTAACCATCAATGAAGAGCAAAACCTTGCTCGGATACTAATTTTGATGCGAACGAGGAATTGGAATTCTTAGACAATAATAAAGTTGAAAATTAGAAAATTGGTAGAGAATAATTTTATTGTATTGAATTGATTAAAATGGTAATTGAGAAGTGTATGCACAAAATAATTCACTAAAGAAGAAAGAAATCATATTCTATATAAGAAATAAAGAGAGAAACAGTTCAAAAACCAATCCTATTTGGAATAGGATTGTCCTACGTTATTCTTTCTCAATTATCACATTTTAAATATTAGTATACTACTAGCATCTTCTCCACTTTCTTCCACCCGGTTTGTATTACTTTGTTATTAGACCCTTGATAAATCAGCATAAGCATGAAAAACATTTCCCCATGACGGAGCTATTTGGAGTGTTAGAGCAAATCTCCTTTGTTTACGATCTCTCAAATATTTATGGCCTCCGGATAGAGCAAATCATTAAAATGGAAGCAGTGCCAGCTTATTAGTTTAAAAGGTGACTGTCAGGAACTTATTCTTCGGTTCACCAAAACAAATAGAATGTAATCAGGTTCAGATACCCAAAACTGGGTTGGCTAAATTCTACTGAGCTATGCACCTCTTTCCATCTAAATTCTACTGAGTTATGCACCTCTTTCCGTCCATGTTACTAATGGAGAAAGATGAGATATAAACATTAAAGAATAGTCTTCTGTGTGCACTTACCAAGCGTCTCTTTGTGGTTTCAGGAGAAAAAAAGGAAAATATCAAAAGCAAAAGCTTACTAACATCAGTATTCCACATACATGTGATAAAGCAGATATATAATATAAAATTGAGAACCATGAAGCAGGGGAAATATTAGGTGTAAAAGTTGAAGGATGATCCAAACAGTCCAGAAAAGAGTTGCTTCAAGAAAATATCAACAGTTTGCAACAGGATTTCATGCTTGCATGTTTGTCTTACAAATCCTTCGTCCAAACTTGTAGGTTTAACCTACATCAGATAGTCCAACTAATACATCTTGATTCGAAATTATATGGACCCTACCTTAAACTACTATACTGAGTTAGATTAATAATAGCAGAAGAACACACAAAACATTTATGATAATAGATAGCTTTGCTACAGTCACCTGCCACACTATTGAACGCTTATGATATCCAGCGACCATTACATATTCTGCGTAGATGAAGTCCCAACTGCCAAAGGAAATAAACAGTTTCTATACTCAGGGAATGCTTGTGTGGAAAACAAGATAAATGTGATGATACAGACAAATTTATACAGAAAATTATTCAGGTGTCAACCATTTTCTGCTCTTACAATCTTTCATTTTCCTTGAACCATATTTAGGAAATGAAGAAAATGAGAGGAGATCACCTGAAATTGGTGACACAAACAGAGCGAATTCCAGCATCAGCTGCTGCTCGACAAGCAACTGGAACAACATCTGAGACCTGAATGCATAAAAAAGAAAATAAAAACCCATGCCAAAGGTCATTTTGAAAAACAAAATCACGTCAGTGTCACGGCATTTGGAAGCACAAAAGCTGATAATTCTTTTCTTAGGTTGGGATCTCAAGAAAGCAATGGGAAAAAACAAAATATTTAATAGTGGTTTGTTAAATAATTAAAACGGTATTATTTACCACTAAATCCGCCTTGATGGCTTTCAGCCACTCCACTTCCTTTGCCAAAATAGAATCACGGGGAACTACAGCAGTCTCAGAATACTAAATCAACAGTTAAAATGTAAGTTAAATAAAGAGAATTAATTCCATGATATTATTTAAAGCATTGCCTTTTCTTTTTCTTTTTCTTTTTTTTTTAATTATTATCAGTTAGTCAGACCTTCTCCAGAGAAGCAAGGCGATCAACTGTCAATGCATCGGCTTGAATTGCTCCACAGTCTAAGAGCACCTAGAATTGCAGAAAATTTGTATTTAAACTGAATGATATAGCAAAAAAGGAACATATCTGAAGTAAAAATCTTTTGTCTTGAAGCATTTTCCAAAAAATAAACCTTGCGGATGAAAAGACGAGGAGTCTGTATTTCAGTTGTGAAAACATAATCTGGTGCACCAGTGACCACGTGAACATCGTGTCCAGCCAGGATGAGATGTCGAGCAACCTAAGTGCATGCAGGAAACTCAAATTGATTACCAAATGGCATGGCAAGTTAGTGAGTATAAGAAAGTGATAGATTGGTTAGATAAAGAAAATAAAATTATTTGACTAATTACAGATATACAGCATCTGTCTTAGAAGCAGGCTAATGAGGACTAAATAGTTTTATAAGAATTAGACGAGTTGACAAATTTCTAAACTAACACACCCCTTTAGAAGCTGGCAAATGATGATGAAACCAAATAAGAATTAATATATATATACAGCCACATAATATTTTTTACCGTGACAATGAAAGGAAAAAAACTATAGCTGAAATCATTTTAACATAATTTAACCAAAGTTTATATTCAACCTTATGTAGCACCATATGAAATGGAGATCATGAACTCGAAAAGAAATTTCTAGTGTGATTCTTTTGCAGTTTCAGAAACACGTTTTAAGTTTTGAATGTATTGAAGATTAGTCAAATAAATGATCGTCAATCTATTTTTCATTGCTTTTTGTTAAATATGGATGAAAGAGTACCCAAAATTATTTTCAGGTTCACGGCTAGGTATAATTTTATTTCTTAAACGAACCCTAAAGTTTTATAAAACATTTTCAGGGAACTTCTCTGCAACAGCCGCTGAAGGGCAATTCAATCAAATTTTGTTTCAGAATACAGGCAATCCAACATTCTACCACAATGATCCAGAAATGATATGGCAAAAACTAACCAAAAAAAAATGAAAACGGCATGTCCAACCAAAGCATTGTTACAGGAGCCAAAGTAGAATACACAACATACAACTCTCTTATGTTCAGCATCCATGTTTCTTGTTCATTTTTTTCTTTTTTATCAAAGGCATTTGCCACTCGTCGACCACTTAAAACTTAGCTCCATAGGTTCGGTGTAAAGATAGAAACTTTTATTATCCAACCCGTTTCTCCCCATTAATTTCCAGCATTTATTAACTCTTTTACTAAATGCAGCAATTTTGCATTGCAATCAAATAATAAATATGATCAAAATTATAAAAACAAACAAAAAAATAATATTAAAAAATAAATAATAAAAATCATCTAACTACTTAAAAAGAAAGTAATCTTTATGGCAGAATAGATCTTTTTAGAAACAATTAAATGGACATTATCAATTATACTCAAAATCATATAAATGCGCTTCTCTAAATTTTTACATACAAGTTCAAGGTATAAAACAAGCACACACGCACTGAATCAAATCAAAATCAGACATTTACATCAAAATCATAAAATGGGCTTCATCAAAACAAGCAGGTTCAATCACAGTCACACACTGAACTATACCAAAGCACATTAAACAATATTTTAATAAAAACCGAAGCTAAATTCATCAGCAACCCAAAAATTGGACCATTATATAGATGGGTTATCTGTATAAATACATGAGAAATTGCACAAAAAAATCACAGACAGAGACTTAGGGAAAGAGTGAGTTTGATGATCATGAACCTCAACAACACGGGTGGCATGGCCAAACCCATGGCCAGTCACATAATAAGCGAAGACAAGAGGATGCTTTGTTGACTCTTGAGAAACCATAATTCTTGGGATTCTACAATAACTTGGGAATGAGGAAGAACAAATTGTTATATATACTGATAATTGTTATATATTTGACATCAAGGTGACGCGTCTTTCTTATCTTGTTTTTAATTTCACTTATATTAATATTTATAATATATTATTTTGTTTCCTCGCATTAATGTCGTGACACTTTAAATTAATAAACCTTTTCAGATTCTAATAAAGTCATATGTATTTAATCATTTATTTAATTTAGGTGTCATCATCAATTAAAATAAAATTTTAAAAGTCCGCACAAATTCGGATGTCCCCAATTTAAATTTTATTTTATTTTAGTAAAATTCATTAAAATCTTTGTGTCTCGATCTAGATATTTTCAGTAACTCGTAGATTTACAAGAATTTCATTTATAAAAGGATTTCAAAAAATTTGGATGTATTTCAAACCTTAAAATGCACAAAAATGACTTTTTATGAATTATATTGAAATTTATTTAATTCACCAAATTCATTAAGATGTAAAAAAATTTAAAATTCATTACACATTAGTCTCCATTGGATTGGGCCGGTCCAATTACATTTATGGATTAATGTAGTAGATAACTGGATTAAACCTGGTAAATGGCCTGATCCATGGGTTCAAACAATGGACATTTAGGGGTGAGTGATGGGAGATTGCAGAAACAAATAATGAAAATTGAAAAGACAAGGGCAATTGGAACAAAACACTCTTATACTTTACTTATTTTACGCAAGAATAATGTTATTTAGCCCCACTTGGGTTACAACATCAATTCAGACGACGCTAGATGATAGGCTGAATAAAGATGAAATTAATTTAGGTAACACTAGATGATAGATTGAATAAAATGTGAAGTTAACGCCACATAAAATTAGAGGTTTTAACCCCAATTGGGCTACATAGAATTATTCTTTAGGCAATTCGTTCAAATCTTTTTAATTTCACACATTTCATCCTCAAATCAAGTGAATATTATGTAAATCATTCATATGGTCAATTTCTTCAATTAAGGAAGGAAATAAAGAGAATGAATAAATAAATAATTACAACCAAAGTAAAACGTGCAAACGAGTCACCCTTAAAATAATTTTCAAGTGAACTAAAACTTAAGAAAATCAATGTAATAAAATTTATGTATTATAAAAAATTTATCAAAGCACATTATTTATTTAAGTCGTTGTCGTTAAGAATTTGAAACATAGTGTTCATGTACGATAGAATCCAGATATATCTTTTCGGCAACTTCTCGTTCATGAAGTATTGTACAATAGGAATTGAAGGTTAGTTTTCGATTAATTTATCATGTAGTGTACTTTAACTAGATTTACTTTTCTTTTAAAGAATGAAAACGATATCTTTTATCTCGACACAAAGTTGACCTTCCATTTATAAATTCTAAAAATTGCAAAAGAAAGAAAATTAGGAGACAACAAAAAGATCAAACACTGAGTAAGCAAGGCAAGGCGACAACAATACAAGTTATTCAATAATAAGCTAACAAAACAACAAACATCCAATTTAAAAATGACTTGCCAAGGCAACAAAGATCCAATAATAAAAATATATAGGCAACAACAATCTAACAATAAAAAATTAATAAGTCGTCAAGGCAACAACACTCCAAAATGAATAAAACCAATACAAAATTTACAATAATTTATAACTAATATCTATCATAAAAAAATAAATTACAAATTACAAAAAAAAAATAAAAAAAAATCACACATGAGTTCTACCAAAGCACGTTAATTGCATAAAGGAGTGTTTAAACAATAATTAATCATTAAAAGACAATTACCCAAATAAGTTTGAACAATAACCAAAGAGGCAATTACTCAAACAATTTTTCAATAAATAATTTCAATTAAGATAAAAAAAAACCAACATTATTTCAATTAAAAATTCCCAATAATAACAAATAAGTAATTATAATTAACAATCTTAATTAAAGGTTGAAGAATTAACAATTTTGCAATATACAATTCTAACAAGATAGAAAAATTTTAATCAAAAATCATAGTTATCGCTTCCTAAATCTAAAATTAAGAATTCAACGGAGGAATGAGTTTTTATGGTTCAAATTTATCCAGTTGTAAAAAACCACGTATCGTGGAAAATCAATCAGAGTATCATATTAAAAATAATAAAATATAACAATAAAAAGATATTTTTATTGAAAATAAGTTCCTATTAGTACTTTGCATGGCCATCCTAATTTCCAAATAATATAGTAGTCAGACTTATTCGTATCTTGAAGCGTAAAAAAGCTTTATCAGTTCCGAATTCGACCAGAGACGAAGGAGATGCTTCTATATTTGTATTTATAAAGTCATCGAGTTGAGGAATGGGATGAGAAAAACATAGTGATTTTGGAATGGGAGGGAACCTTGTGCCTTTATCAAGTAGGCATCATTTGGGTTTGAATTTAGAACTAGGATTTGGGCAGTATTTTTTACACGAGCTACAAATTTTATTTTTGACATGGACTACATAAAAATTTAAAGAATAGTATTAATAATCTAATCAAGTTGTGTCTAGGTTGGGCCTCTACTCGTATCAACAATAATCAGCAAAAGAATCGTCGCTTCAGTCACCGACAATGTCACGAAGGTTATTGAATCTCATTCCCCGCCAGCCCAAAAAAATGATTTGCACAAGTGTGACGTGCAACAAGTCTTTTCCATCATACCAAGCACTCGGTGGCCACAAAACCGGCCACCGTGATGGTCTCAATTCTCCGCAACTAATGCAATCACCAACACCTCTAATATCTCTTATCTCAACTCAATTGGTAGTATTCGCAAATGATGATGGCAGCGACGTGGAAGGAAAAGGAGAGGAGGGATGTTAGTGGATGGGGGTTGGCAGGGAATAGGTGGGATTGATCGGAGAAGAAGGTGATACTTTAATTTTTTATTGTCTTAAGTGGGACTCGCTTGCACGTTTGAAAATGTTCGGGAATTTGGCTAAAATTTTTTGTTTTTACTTTTTTTCTTTTCTTTTCTTTCTTGTTTTATTTAAAGATGATGATGAATTCGTTATTTGACGAGGCTTTAATAAAGAAAATGGATGAAATGAACGATTTGCACAAGTTTGCTTGATCTAAGGATGGAACTTGCCAAATCGAAAGGATATGAATGGTTTGCACAAAACAAGCAAAAGATATGGACACTTTTTGCTAATTACCCAAATGATAATTATATTTTAGTTATTTACATTACAATTTGTTATTAATGCACCACATCTTAATTATACTAATATTATGTGCGTCGCACTTTTTTATGTATCGGATAAATAATATGGGTAATGTGTTTGAAGTACTAATACTGTTTTTTAAAATAGTTCAAGTAATTGATATTGTTAAAGAAAAAAATTAAAATTATTAAAAATAATATATATGAATACAAGTTTCTTATGAAATTATGTATATAATGTGAAAATATTGAATAAATTAAAAAAACCTTAAAAACTCAAACTCCTCATCGAATATAGATTTTAATACAACTCGTAATTGATACGATCTGAGTATAACTTCTTCCTAGTTGTATTTATCATTACTTAAAACATGCTCAAAATTGTACTGATGTAGATCATATCAACAAATTGTACTTCCAAACACACCAACAAGTGCATAAAAATAAAAAATAAAAAAAATCATTTTTACTTGAAAGATTAAAGTAACAGCACAAAAAATAGCTTCTCGTCAATAAGTGAACAATCAAATAAGATGAAACGACTTGAAAATGAACTAGTATTAAATAGTAAGTAATTTCACATAGTATGTTGGTCGACGAAATTTCATAGCAAAAATAGAAAGCGCTTACAAAACATGAGGTCTGCTACGTGTACAAAAAATTCATACATACACTTTGACAGAATATTACATAACATTTTGCCATTGGTTTCTGTCCCAAAAAAATAGTTTTGGCAGCTAATCACAATCTGTCAACAAAATGGAGCAACAATTTTGTGCAAGTAGATAATTCCACAAAACATATATGGATAGGAAAATTCCATGTTTACCTCAAAATTTTGTGACATGTCCTCCACTTACTCTATGTTTCCTTGATTCTTGTGTGCTGTATGGAGCAGAAAGTATAAAAAGTTAACACCAAAAGCGACAAGTCAGAAGGAATAAGAATTATTAAAAGTAAGAGAAAGGAATATGATAAATGTACATACCCATATTGATTGAGTGCACCACCAAACAGATTTGGATGTACAGAATAAATCAATTACAATTCCCTTGTAAAGCAAAAAAGATATAGTTTTTCATTCAATTCAATTAATTATTACTTAGCACATGTTTAAGATTGATTTTTCTCTCCAAAAAATTAATTTTTTGACCGTTATTTCACTATTCCAGCTATCATTTTTTTCTTCTCTCACAAATAGGATCTACTTTTCTTTCTAACGATCAAAAAATCAATTCTCAAAATCACTAACAAACAAGTCCTTATTAAAAATTATTGTAAAATAACTACGTAGCCCTTCTAAGTATTTGAGGGGTTAAGGAAATGAAAAAGCAAATGAATGCATAAAAAATATCTATGAAAGACCCATTAAATGAGAATTGATGTTGTGTAAGAAAACCAATACATAGGCAATGAATTATCAAAAGGAAAATGGTTGTTGGCCAGGCCAAAAAACAGGCCCAAAGCAAGGGGGCCGAGGTGAAAAAACACCTCGGCCCTTGGATCTGAAATTTTTTTTAAAAAAAAAATGTATGAGATCGAGGGCCTGTTCCTAAATCGGTTACTGAGACTGGCTCAGTAGCAGAGTTCTTATCAAAAAATAGGCAAATCTGAAATTGAAGCATACTTGTCCGCAGGATGAGATAACAACAAAGGCACCTTTTAAGTCGAGCAAACAATAATATGAAACAATTTATGACTACACATATATTTGAAGTATTCCTTATCTTTTTTAATTGATTTATGATTTTCTCTTCTAATTGATCTACATCATAAAGAATCTTTACTAGCTTTCACTCCATGATTCTCATAATTCCTCCCTCTTCAAAAGAATTCACCTCGAA